AAGATATAATAGTGCGCAATAGCTTAATTTAATTGCCTATCTCTACTGTATCTTTCTTGCATGTACGCTTGTTGTGTCCTGTGTTGCCACACCTCCTGCAGCGCGGAATACCCCTGCTGCTAGCACCTGCCTGCACCCTCTCCTCACGCCTCTCTGCCTCAAGTCAAACCTCAGCATCCCCCTAGGTAACTATTACCTCTACCTCTGCCTGTGATAGGGTCCCCCCCTTCTATATTCGCTTCTTCTTACGCTTTTTACGCTCAGAAGCAGCCTAATTTGCTTGCTCAAGACTATCTATCCTAGCTTCAAGCAACGTGTGTGAGTGTACCTTCAAAGTTAACCCCTTTTTAACCTACAGCACTATCTTAAGAATAGACTTAGGTAAGGAACTCCTATAGTCCCTTATCCTCTTAAGAATTAGTGTTATTTAAGCCTCTATTTCCTAGGCGTTGCTTAGTGTTTTAGGCTGCCAAGGGGTACTCCTAGGTAAAGGTAGTGTTAGTGTACAAGGCTTTACTTTAAGCCTTGATAGCACCACCTCTAGGTTATCTAGAACTAAGCTAGTTGCTCTAAAGCTTGATAGGATATTGTCCTTTAAGAAGGCCTGGTCAAATACTAGGGTAAGTGCAGCCAGGAAGGCTTTCTTGTTAATGTAGTTGATATAGCAGTTTGCCAAGACTTAGATCTCCTCCTTGTACGCACGCTTTAGGGGGGCAAAGCAACCTACATTAAGCAGCTAAAGGATGTGTGAGGTGTGAGGGGGTATATAGAGGGTAATAATATTGTTCTCCTCACAAAGATCCTAGAAGGCGAGTAACTTGTGGCTCTTGTAGCTATTAAGAATTAGTAGTCTGTAACCACCTACTTTCTTAACCTCTGTGTGCTTAATAAAGTGCTGTAGCTAGGCAAGCCTAAGCTTATTTGTTGTCTATCTATTATTGCTAACCCCTATTCTCTAATCCTTGTAAAGTTATAAGACTCTGTTCTTATAATCTTTATCTAGCGTATTTCCCTTTTCAGTATAGCGCTATGCTTACCTAAGCATTGCTATTGTAATCTCCAAGAAGAGAGGATGAGAATGGTGTGCTTACGAAGCCTGTATCTCCTCTCGTTCTTAAGATATGCTGTTCTCTATTTTTAGTAACTAGAAATGTTCTAGACCCTCTGCTTACAAATAGAGTAGCCTACTCTGTAAGATGCTGACGTATACGATTACGCATACACCTACGTAATCTTGCTTGCATATGCAGCAATACTAAGCATAGATAAAGTAGACCTAACTAGAGGAGTCTAGAACGTTCTGCTTAGAAATACAG